TGGTCACAGTTAATAATCCTTCAAATTACGATAATATGGTCATGATTTCCTGTTTGCTTCAAATAGCTCCAGAAGTAGTCCCACTGTTCATCTTTATCTTCTGTATCATTTTTAAGTTTATTCAGCATGGACTCATAGGAAGCAGTCTCTGCCATTGCTCTGATCCAGTCTTTCAGTTCAGGACATACTGTAGTCTTCCAGTGCCTAAGGATAATCCTCGATGCAGTTACCAGTGCAACCATAACAACCGTAAAAATATTATTATGAATTCTTGGAATATGAGAACAGTCTCCTAACAAGCACAATTCAGGAGTTAAAGGCACTTCTAATCCTGACCAACCTTTTAAAAATGTGACGACTTTCTTCCAAAAAGGAGCTATAAGGGAACATTCCCAAAAACAATGTAGGAAAGTCCCCGCCCCAATTTTACATTTCCAACAGAGATTGTCAGGCACAAGCTTCATACAGTGTAATCTTGCTGGGGTATGATAATATCTATGCAGAATTTTATATTGTATGCATTTGCTCCTCGCCTCCTTAACATGAATCCCATTTTCTGCCAAAATGCCCATCCATTTTTCGTTTGAAATTGGTGCATTTAAATCTTTCTGCCACAAAGTTTTAATGTTCGAACATTCCCCACTTCTATTATCATTTACCAACCTATAAAAACATGATGCTGTGTGGTGCTCCTGAGGCATATTTATAAAATTTAGAACAAGATTTTCATGTCCCCTTCTGAACTTCGACGTCACACAGTGTCTAATTTGCAAATATCTCCAGAAATTTTCCTTCCCTTCCAATTTGTATGTTTGAACAAGAAACTGCTTAATTAAGTTTTCATACTGTTTAAAGAGACCAGGCGGTATCGCAATTGGTAACATCATTACTACATAGTTAAATTGGGGGGCTATAATCATTTTTACAATATTTATTTTGCCCCACAATGAGATTTTTAATTTGCCCCATTTTTCTATATTTGTTTTTATTTTTAGAAGGACTGGGTCAAAATTAAGTTTGGGTAGGTCCTCCATATCTTGGTTTAGTCTTATCCCGAGATACTTCATCACTCTAGGTACCCATTTAAAATTAAATTTTTCTACCATGTTTGGATAGCATAGTGGTGATAGTGGCATTACTTCAGACTTTCCCCAGTTAATAGTATAACCTGACAGCTCAGAGAACGCCTTTGTGGTGTCCATTAAATGCGGTACTGATAAGAGTGGGTCTGTTATAATGGCAAGAATATCATCAGCATAGAGGAGGAGTTTGTGTTCCTGCTGCCCACCTATGATGCCTTTAATCTCCTTGTTTGATCTGATACTCACTGCCAATGTTTCTATAAAAATTAAGAACAAAAGGGGGCTTAAAGAACAGCCCTGACGAGCTCCACGTGACAAACTAAAGAAGGGTGAAACCATACCATTTGATTTTACCGCCGCCTTTGGTTCTTTGTATAGCACTTTAACCCAGTTTAGAAAGTCTGGCCCAAACCTGAACCGCAACAAGGTTGAAAAAAAAAGCTCCATTCAACTTTGTCAAAAGCCTTCTCTGGAGGAGAAAGCTGCTATCTTTAGACTGGCCCCACTACATTAAAAGGAGTAGCTTTTGAATGTCATCTGAGGAAGAGCGTGTTTTCATAAATCCAGTCTGATTTGGATGTATGATGACACCCATAACCCTAGACTCTTTGACTGTTTGAAGCTGCATTTTTGTGGTCACCGGGTTTTTGAGCTGTAACACTGTCACAGAGTTAAAGGTGCCTATAAGAGATTAAAGGCGAGTTTTCTGCAAAACTGCTTTGGTTAGTGTATGATGGTATTCATGGTTCCATGTTAGCTCCATAATATTTTGTCTTTATCGAAGCTGTTTAATAAAAACATGGTTAGAGGAGCCTTGGAAGCACTTATTAAAT